CTCCCTTGATTTTCAACATTCTTAGGTACCTTTCCTTTTACCCATCACTCTCATGGTATATTCATAATCTTTTGTGGTATCTTCACTTTGTTGTGGGTACCTTAGATGTTTTACACTCTTTTCCTTCCCCTAAGTTGACATCTTCACATCTGACATCTCTTCTAGATCCAGGTCTCCAGACCAATTAGACATCTCTCTGGGCAGCAGGGCCACAGTATTCTTGCAATGGAACGTTGTAAGCGTCATGGGAAATAGAGATAATGTGCTCTGAGAATTCTGACAGACAGAAGGGACTTCTGAGATTGTTCCCTTTTGTTCTGTTCTTAGACTTTTGACATAAGTAGTAAATTATGATGTATAGAATTCTGTATAGGAAATAAAGATCAAAGCCACAGAGGAGTAAGAATCACCTATAAGGAATAAAGGACAGAAGCTGTGAGATATAAAAGGCTCCTGAATTAAGCCCAGGGGAGATAATGGTGGCTTAATGATAATGGTAACAGCTGGAGCTGGAACCTACAACCCTGAGATCAAGAGTCACATGTTCCACTAACTGAGCCAGCCAGGCACCCCTAATTTTGGATGTATGTTGAGATCATTTTTGCCATAATGTGACATGTGAGAAAGAGAGGAATTAACAATGACTTCGAGGTTTTTTGCTTTTAGAATCTAGAAGGATGAAGTTGCTATTAACAGAGATGGTGAAGATCCTAGGGGAACAGGATTTAAGGAGGAATCAGAAATTAGTTTTGGACATGTTAAATTTAAAATGCCCATGAGGATTCAAACAGGGATGTAGTTTACCAAGAAGTAGTTACAAAACAAATTTTATTTTATTTGGAGAACATTTGCTGATGAGTTAACAAATCATCGTCAGTTTTGTGATCGTGACTTTGCTCTTAGAGTAAATGAAAACTGGAGTGTGGTTGACATACAAAGAGAATGTTGTACTATGAGGATGGAATAATCTCACTTATGACAGCACCCGAGCAGTGCTTCTAAAGCTTCTTTGTATCACTGCTTCCTTTGAGGTTCTAATGAAATCTGTGGTTGCTTTTCCCAGATATATACTCACGCACATAGTATCTTATGTGATATTTCAGGGGACTCAGGGATTTCTTTCTTTAGGTCACTTAACATCTGTGCTGGATATGTCCAACCCAGGATTGCCCTCTTTTAGGAGCCAGTGTTACTTGGTGTACATTTTCCACCATGATGTCCTGAGTGATAATCGGAGTGGTTTGCATGTGAAGAGTACTGTTCTGTACTGTGATCATAGTGACCTTCATGGTCCTCTTTTTCAGCCATGTAAGTGAAAAGTCTTATTGACACTTGCACAGGAAAGTGAAGTTACTTTTTTTCTGTTTTCCAATTATTTAATTGGAAGAGTGGTAGAGCTGAGATTGAAGCCCATGAGGGTGTTTTCCCAGTCTGCTGTTTTGATATATGTTCAGTATTTACTTCAGATAAATTCTGTGGGAGTTGTGTGAACCTGAGAAAGAATCATTTCCATCTTTTTGCTTTTTCTATGACTTACCACAATTTGAAAATATAAATGATCAAAACCAAAACTGTTTACAGTGACTCAACCAGTATCAAAAACACTACCCATGAAATAATAATGTAAGTATAAAAGGTCATCAAACAAAAATGTGGAATGTACTAGTATGAATGAAGCATGAAGATTTTATTTAAAAGGATAATAGAAAGTAATATAGGAGTCTTAGATAAGAAATTAAACCAAGGCAGACAAACTTTTTCTGTAAAGGACCAGAGAGTATATATTTTAGCACTTATGGGTCAGCTATCTGGTCTTTGTTGAAATTACTCAACACTGTAGTTCTAGCACAAATACAATAATGAATGTTATGTAAAGAAATGAGCATGATTATGTCTCAATAAAACCTTATTTATGAAAACCGGGGCCAGGCTGAATTTGGCCTGTAGGATATAGTTTGTTCAGTCTTGGATTAAACCAATCATGGCAATTTTAGATAACTTACAAGTGATAGATATAGATAATATTTATTTATTTATTTATAGAAGATTTTATTTATTTGAGAGAGAAAGAGAGCACAGGTCGGGGGTAAGGAGGGACAGAGGGAGAGGGAGAAGCAGACTCCCCGCTGAGCAGGGAGCCCAATGCAAGGCTCGATCCCAGGATCCTGAGATCATGACCTGAGCTGAAGGCAGATGCTTAACCGACTGAGCCACCCAGGCGCCCCAGAGATAGAGAACTTTTAATAAGACAGCATTGTTTTTAAAGCAATGTTCCCCTCGGACTAAGCTAGGATTCCAGAGAGGTAACTCAGTGTCTGCCTTGAGGTGGATCAGGGGTATTGAGAGAGAGAAGCTCAATGCCTCTTAACTACATAGCACAGAATAGCTCAGTTTTATCAGTGTTAAATATTGGGGTTTCGGGTAGATTTTACATGAAGAAATATTTCACTGATAATTAAAATTTGAAAACTACTGGGTTATAGCAAGTGGTAACTATAATCTGTACAGTTTCTTTTTTTATGTTCCCTTTACATAGGCAAAGCAGAATGGATCTCTGAAGTAAAAAATATCATTTGTACCCAAAAGTTTCTGTTTCATAGATAACAAAATGAGATATATTGGGGTAAAAATTTATTATAAATTAGATCTGTGACAATTAAATTATTAGCTAATTATCTAAAACTCTACTTTTTATACTTGCATAGACACACCATTAATAGATGAACCATGCTTTGTCTTAATGTTTAGTTTGTGATATGAATGCTACCTAAAGTCCTGTGAAGCTAATCTTCATTGATATCAGCTTATATGGAATAATAACACTGAAATAACACAAATAATATAGATGCCTCTTCAGTGATATTTAAATAGAATTATTTATTTGCTAGAGTTAAACTTTTATGGGCGTGGGAAACTTCGTGTACATACATTCTGGGATGTCTATGCACGCTGCCTGAGGTTTTTATGTTAAAGCCCTTAGATGGTTTGGAAGCTAAATTGTCTGTATAGCAATACAAAAAATCACTTGAGGCTTACAAAATAGTGATATTGGCATTTTAGGTTGATGTAAATGAGAAAGCATATCTATCATTTTTATGTATGTGTGTATTGTTTTTCGCCTCACCCTGAATCTGTAAGAAAATCAATAAAAATTGCCTGTTGGGATTGTCTTAACACAGCTTACTTCTTTGGGTTATAAAGAAGGAATCTGCTGATATTAAAGTGCTGAAGTGATATTATGGTAAATTTTTGCTGATCTGAAAAAGAAATCTGTTACCTATCATGACCTCTAAACTTTAAATGTGTTCTGCTAAAAACATCCATATGCAGAAATCTGAAAAAAAATGAGACATGATTAATCACCCCTCAGAAGAAGAGTTTGATAAAAGAATAATTATGTAATTCAGCTGTTTATAAGTTGAAACTAATACAGAAAAAAATATTTCAGGGAAAGATCTAGATTTTATTTTTTTTCATTGACTTATGTAAGCACTTTATCTTTTGAGCTCTATAATAATATGACTCTTTCTAGTCAGAAATCCTTCTTTTACCTGTGTGATCTTCTTTTATGACTAGGTTACTTACATCAAGAGAATTCATTGAGTAGTAAAGGATATTGATGATGTGTTTGGTATGAGGTAGAACTCTTGCCCCAAAGGACAGGAGAAGTTTATCTTTCCATATTTATTTGCAAGGTATTCTCAAAGAACTCTTCTGTTAACACATGACATACTCATTAGCTCTGGACCCAAGAGGAAGTCCAAGACCAAGGTGCTGGCAGTTTGAGTGTCTGATGAGGACCCACTTCCTGGTTCATAGATAGCCGCCTTCTCATTGCATCTTTGTATGGTAGATGAGACAAGGGAGCTTTCTGGGGTCTGTTTTATAGGGACATGAAACTCAGTCATCAAGGCTCCATTCTCATGACCAAATCACCTCCTAAACATCATCATGTAAGATTTTCAACATACTTAGGGGAAATGTAGTCAGCACCCCATTAGTGTTGCGTAAGTGGCTGCAAGAGGGCATCACATTTTAGGTGAGTTAGCTCTTATGTGACTGAAGGCAGTTCTCTAGAGAAGGAGGCAGGTGTGAGCTGGCGGCAGCTAAAACTCCGAGCAGCTAGGGGATGAGTGCCCTGGCCTTACCCACTGTGCTAGCAAAAAGAGTCTCCTGCATATTAGAAACAGAAAATAGGAACAGGAGTTAGCTGCTATCAAGAAGTACTGACAACATGAAAACAATTCATGAGATAGAAGAAAATCTGAAAATTGACCCATGAGCTTGAAGTCGTGTAACACAGGGCTAGATTAGATATCCCCCACACAAATCCATAGCCCATTACAGCGAATTCTAGCACTGACTACTCATGAAGCTGACCTGGAGCCAACAACAACAAAAAAGCTGTATTTTATTAGGATATGCAATTGAAAACGCAGGGACCATCAGCATTTTGACAGCTTAATTTCTTAAACCACGATTCTCTAGTTGTTTAGAAAAGAAATAGCTGTTCTGTGAAAGTGCTGGGTAAATTCATGGTTAGCCTAGTAAAACTTTTAGAGAGCATTGACCATAGGGCCATCAGCTTGAGTCCAAAGAAGTCGTGCACTGAGAAAGTAAGTACTTTTTGAACAACAAGGGTGTTTTAGAGAGTCTCACATTATGGATAGTAGTGTGTCTCAGTTTACTCTCAGGAAGGTTGACAGGAAAGAAGGACTTTGTGGTTTGTTTCTGTTGAACAAATGGATGATTGTAGGACTGTAGCTCAAATTAGGTAACAGATTGCATCATTTCCATTGTATTTTCAATAATTGCTAGCCTCCTGGCCTCCCGTACCTGTTATTCCATTAACACTTCATCAAGTTTCACCCTCCAGTGGTTACCCACCAGCTGTTCAGCAGAGACTTTTAGCCTAATCCCTACATAGCCCATCAAATATCAAATGCTACTTTTGATGCCTTGGTGTTCCCTAGAAAAATTTTTGTGTTTTTCTTCTTCAGTACCATAATGCTACCTTTGACTGGGCAATTTTGTCAACGAAGAAGTGTTTGAAATATGGAGGAAAGCTCGTGGGGAACAACTGTGATTTTGTTCCTGATATCACCCTCATGTCTTTCATCCTCTTCTTGGGCACCTACACCTCTTCTATGGCTCTGAAAAAATTCAAAACTAGCCGTTATTTTCCAACCACGGTAAGTACCTAAGCTTTAAATAACTTTCACTAAATTTATACTGTATCAACAATAATACAGTGTTACAGAATGAAAAAGTCACCTGTGATTCAGCTCTCACAATACAATTTTGTGCATTTAAAAATTGATTTCCAGTCTTTGTTCATGTGTGTATTATGTATTTTTAACTAAATTGAAGTGCAGCTTTGAAAAGCCTTCCAAAGATTTTGCTCACATAATTCTGTCATAAATTCTATCATAATTCTTACTGTATGGAGGGAAAAGGTGGGATGTATTCTAGTATCTAAAAATGCATGAGTAAGAAAAAGACCTTTTTAAATCCATAGTTTTAAAGTACATAAGCAAAAGCTCTTTATATTAGCAAGAAATTTTGATGTAGAATTTCTAATTCATGAGCTGTACATGTGGTAATTTCGTAGTTGAATTATGGGCTTTGGGAATAAACTTAAACTGTGTTGTTACACCAGTATTGGTATAAGATAGGAGTGTCATCTGAGCCAAAATTTCCTTCCCATAGTGATGAATACCATAGAACAGAAAAACAGATAATTGAGCTGGGTTGTGCAGACATCCTGTCTTCCACTAATATGCTTGGGTGAACGTAAAGTCAAAACTGTGGTTCATGGAGAGACTACAAGATAAGAGCAACATTTAGTTAATGGCGTTTTGTTTTTTTACCTGCAGAGTGAAACTAAGATAATCCTTTGCTTTGCAGTTCAGTTCTCAGTGTTTAGGATGTCAGTATTTCTTAGGTAATCTTGATTATACCTGATTTTTATCAATGAGCTGCTCTTTGCAGCTAGAATCTCATGAAATTTCTACCCTTGTGTTTTATGTGGAAGGAGTGGAAAGACTTTAGAAGACATGAGATAGAGTTGCTGAAATTACTTTCTTTCATGTCCTACAGAATGAAACATAATATATTCACACTGAGGAAATTTTTTTACTTGTTCTTATAAAAAGTGATTTTTCTTATAAAATTGAACATAAAGGGAAGGATTGATAATTGTTTTTAGTCTGTTTGGGCTGCTATAACAAAATACCATAGACTAAGTGGCTTATAAGCCACAGAAATTTATTTCTCATGGTTCTGGAGGCTGGGAAGTCCGAGGTCAGGTACCAGCAAGTTTGGGTCAGGGCCCTCCTCCTGGCTCATAGCCAGTGCCTTTTCACTGTGTCCAAGCATGGAGGAAGGGTTAGGGCTCGCCGTAGGTCCTCTTTTAGAAAACCACTAATCTTATTCAGGAAGGCTCCACCCTTATGACCTAATAAGCACCTCCCGAAGGCACCACCTCCTGATACAATCTTTCTGGAGGGTTAGGATCTCAATATAAGAATTTGAGGGGGACACAGCACTGAGACCATAGCAATAATGAGATGTCCCAAACTAGCTGGGCCAAGGAATAAAAAATTTTTACAAAGTAAAATGTAGAAAGAAGTATTCAACTTAATGTGTCTAAAACAGGCATCCCAAATTGGTGGTCAACAGGCAGAATTCAGCCTACAGCCATTCTTTGTTTAGACCATAGTGTGTAAACACACACACACACACACACACACACTTGCGTGCATGCGTGCACACACACACACACGCACACACTTGAGGCCTTAGATGGAACCTGTACTTTTCAGATAGTTATTGTCCTCATAACTCTCTATTGTCTAAGATTTGGCTGCTCTGTACGTTCAGATTAACTGCCCATCCCTGAAGATATTTGAGCTTGTAACACCAGTTCACACACAGAGAAATGTGCTTACTTAATCCATCTCTTCAATGGTACGAGTTTTGTGTAGGCCAGATGCCTTAGGTAAATGTCTTTGAGGATGATTCTTCTTCCCTATTGAGGTTTTTCCTTCTTAGTTTTTAATTCATTAGACTTCTTTCTCTCTCTCTCTCTGTCTCTCTCTCTCTCTCTTTTTTTTTATTTTGGCTCACATCTTGGGAATTATCACCCTTTTGATCTCTCCTACTTGCGAAAGTCTGAAATTATTATATAGACATAGCAGGTGAAAAGTAGAAAATGTGTGAAGCAATTGTTAAGTTGTAATTTACAAAATAAACTAGTTTCAACCTTAAGATGAATAGAGATCATTTCAACTGCCTATGTAGGCATCACCTTTTTCTTCCAGCAAGAACTCCCAAATTGATAACAGCTCTTCAGACTTAAAAGAATTTTCCCCTTATAAGAGCCCAAGCAGGTCATTTCTCAATGTTGATAAGTGCTGCTGAGCAAGTCATGAGCATATGAAAATGGAATAATGATAGTATTCCAGTTGCAATTCCTACGAAGAGGTTTCTCAGCATAATTTAGAATTGTATATAGCAATCATAAGATAAACAGAGAGGAGAAAATATATGTGATTTCTAAGGAGCAATGTTGAGGTGTATAGGCTTTCAGACTGTCATCTCTCTTACTCACTTTATATTTACAGCTGAATAATAGCAATACATACATAAATTCATAATACACAAGTAATAACATCTTTTTTGCTCTCTCATTTGCCAAAATATGTTTGGATTTAAGCTGTCATTTAGAAGGGTGGTCTCTCTAGATAGAGACCAATAGGTTTATAGATTCTTATGCTTACATATTATGTTCTACAATTACAACTTGTATGCTTAAACAGAATAAATTAGACAATCCTTGATTGCTGTGACAAGAATCAAGCCAACTGTTACTACTTCCTCGCTCATACCAGCCATTCACATGAAACCGCTAAAATCTCAAATTGCTAATGCTAGACGACAGTGCCCTTGTCATACAAAATACCCTCTTTTCCTTTAGCTTGCCCAGCCATTTCTCTCTTGCCTTCTCATTTCTAAACATTTGTAGGTTAGTCAATTCAGACTGTAAACTGCTGGAAAACTGTTTTACTTCTATATGATTCCTCACATCAATTAGCACATGGCTGGACACAGACTCAGTACTCCATCCTTGCTGACTCGGGGAATGCAGTGAAGGAGCAATGGACGCTGCATTTTGTGGACAAAGCACAGATGTGAGAACTCAGAAGATGTAGATTCTAGTGCTAACCCTGCCATTAACTAACAGTGTGCCCTTTGAGAGCTAACTGTGAACTTTAGTTACCACGCCCATAAAAGGAGTGCTCAGCTAGAAGACAATTAACATCCTTTTAAGCTCGAGTGTTCGATAATTTTAAAGACAGTTTGCTGACTCCATCTCCTAAATTAAGAGAACTCTTCATTTTAAGCTAGAGCTTATAGCAATGATCTAGAGTTACAAATTTCAAAAAATTAATCCTTATCTCCATCTTTATGCCAGGTCCCCTCGTACAGCTGCTGCCAACCTCTCTCTCTGGATGGTCCACAGTTGTTACATAGCAAATTCAAAATGTGGTTTTTCTTTCCACATTTGAACATACTCATCTTCCTGTATTCTCTGTCTCAGCTAATAATATCATCTACCCTTACAGCCACCCAGGATCAAAATCTCAGAATCATATTTGGTCTATCAGTCAGTCTCAGCAGGAAACAAATTATACATTCGGATGAGATGATTTGAGGGGTTTACTAAAGCATTATTTATGAAAGTGCAGTTAGGTTTTGGGAACCCATAAGGGAAAGTGTAGTGTCCAGTGCTCGTAGCAGTGGGTTGTTACTGTCCATCCCTGGCCCAAAGGTTGTGCCAGGGGAGTAGTTGCTGGAACCCAGAAGAAGAGAAAAGCCTCGAGAAAGCTGTCCTGCGAGCTGCTGTGACCTTGGACGGAGGGATGTAGCCAGCGTGAGGCAACCTCACAGCAATAAAGCTGTGGGAATAAGTACTTTGATCTCTCTTTTCCTCTGATAGCCTGCCCTGGCTGCTCCAGGCCTAACCCAGCTGGAGAGCAAGGGAACCTACTGCAGACCGCACAGGCCCATCTCCCAAGGCAGAGAGCATGGTGATAAGGGGTACAAAATAGAGCTGGTGTGACAAAAGCTGCTATTTTTCACATTTGCCTCTCCAAGTTTTTTTTTTAATCAAATTAAACTTGTCACAGTCCCCTCGTTTATCCCGCTGTAATCACTCTCCCTTACACTTACACTTCTGTTCCCCTGGTTCTGTCAGTCATTATCTTGGCCAAGACCAGGGTCAGTTATCCACACTTTCTCTCCCTCAGGAGGCTAGTGGCACTCCATCAGTATGAGCACTTACGGTAAAAGAGTTTGTCTTTATTAACCTTTCTATCAGGAATTTAATTTGTATATCAGGCACAGTCCAGAGAGCCCTAATGCCGAGGGGAATGTGAATGGAAGACCAGTGTACCCCACTGTCTGTCTTCTTTGCGCTCCCCATTCTTTTTAGAGGGGTGCATCAGACTGTTTCCCCATACAGTTACTGGTCTGTTCCATCAGCCTCAAGTCTTTGGTCAAAGGCGTTTGGCATCAGAGCTTCCTGGAGGAGCATCACAGCATCATCTGGGATCTTCTGTGGCAGGTGGCTCAGGGCATTCACCTGAAGTGCTCTTCCAGAGTGCCGTATCAGCAAGTGATCATACGCATGCGACAGAGACGCCTTCCCTGCATATGCGCTGGTAAAATGGAAGCAGTAGCTGAGGGCAGGAGTGTGATTAGTAGTAGTAGAACTCATAAAGCTGTAGAACTTCTGAATTAAGCAAAATTTATTGATACTTTGATATATAGTCAAATATAGTGTGACTGGCTGATGGATGTAATTGGCATGAAAATGTCTTTCTTTAGGAACCATTTAATTTCCTTTTTCCCCCCTATTAGAATAAGTAACAGTTTTGACCCTCACATGAATTGATGTAATGGTAAGATTCTTTTTTGTTTGTTTGTTTTATTTTATTATTTTATTTTATGTGTGTATGTATGTATGTATTTTGAGAGGGAGAGAGAGAGAGAGAGGAGGGGCAAAAGAAAAGGGAAAGAGAGAATCTTAAGCAGGCTCCATGTCCAGCCAAGATGGGGCTTGATCTCATGACCCTTAGAACATGGCCTGCGCTGAAATCAAGAGTCAGATGCTTGACTGACTGAGCCA